AACTTTTGCAGCTCAACGTGCCGCGTCAACCAATCAGAGAGACTCCATGTGTGACGTAGCGACATATTTCCCGACGGGACAGTTTACTGAATGATGTCCACTAACCTGAAACAGATGGAGAGGAGCTCTTTAGCTGAAATCCAGTGCCTGCAGTCGGTGTCCTGACAGAGATATCCGCACCAATGCGTGGCAGCGGCTCATCAGACTGGAAAAATAGTCCTGAAAGCGAGCTGTGAGCCTCTACTCTGAATTATCTGGTGAATTAATTATGAATTAATTATCTGATGAACCTGACATGCTCTTGCTCTCTGTAAATAAAGCAAAGCCACTTCCTCGTCCGACATTAAACAGAGCCCGACAGAGGAGSGAGGGRTGGGGAGGCTGTCGCCGTGCAGCGCTTCAAGAGCTGTCCTGCGTCTGACCTCAAAGTGCACAAGCTTCAAACTTCAGTGTTGGCTGCGATTTTGAAGCYGAAATTGCATTCTGTGTGAACGCAGCATAATATTTTACAACTTTCTTCCAATCTGCTGCGTCCTGAAACAACCCCACCATCACCATCTCAGATTTTTTAAATGTTTTAGTCATTTCTGAAATACCACACTTTATGAAACATTGCTGTCTCCATTGTCCAGACGTCTGTGACACACCAGCCTAACAGATGAAAGGTGTGTGTTTGCTGAACACAACTAATCTGAAATTCTCTAACGCTGAGTCAGAGCAGGTCGATGTCAGCTGCCTTTTTATTTTGTTTTCTCAGCTATGTCATTGTTTCATCTGTTTTTCCGTTTGACCACACACACATACACACACAGCTGCTGTTTTCTTTCTTCCCCCTTTTTTTGAGACTTTGAATGGTGGGGTAAACTTTGCAAGCAAATGTAACAAGCATCAGAGTAGTTTACTGTTAAAACCTTTGCTCGCTGCCTAAAGGTGAAGGCAAACATAGGTGTTTTTGCCTGTGTGTGGGGAGGCATGCAAGTGTAGCCCGTGCCTCATTATTTAGCTACAATACGAAGTGGGGGTGCACAGATTGCAGTTTTCTGGCTGATCACTAATCACTGATTTGGGCCGATACAGATTTTTTAAAATAACACACTGTCAGGTGTTATAGGTTACAATACACCTCCAGTGTTCCAAACTTATTTTATTGGAAAACATTTAATAATACCCTTGAAGCAATGCAAAMTTGTTTTAAATGGACATTAGTGCTCACAGCAGAGCAAAAGGAGACAGTGGCTGATTACCAGACCTTTGTGGAGATGGATGAGAATTTCTTCCACCTATCTTATCTAAGTATCGGACAATCTCCAATCTCCTAAAATGAGGGAAATCAGTGACAATAAACTGTCTGGCCGATTTATCAGTGCACCCCTAATACAAAGTGTAAAATAAATCCAAAGCAGGAATATCTATTTAATCAGGGGTGTCCAATCCTGGTTCTTTCGGGCCACTACCCTGCATGTTTTACTTGTTTCCCTTTCTCCAACAAACCTGATTCAGTGATTGAACCACCTTTTCAAGTTCTACAGAAGCCAATTAATCACCCATTCATTTAAATCAGGGGTGTTGGTGCAGAGAAACATCTAAAATGTGCAGTATAGTGGCCTTCAAGGACCAGGACTGGACACCCATGTTTTAAAGTATGAATGAGGCCAGATAAGATCATATGCCCCTTTTCCAGTCTCACCACAACTCACATCGACTCTCCTTGGTTCTACACGATTTAAGAGGTTTTGGAGATGATGTCCACATGTAGGTGGTTCATCATAGCAAAGCTGCTCAACAATGGCATTACTTAAAAATGTGTTCAAAGTGAGCTTGTATTAATTAATAAGTGGAATAAAGTGACAAAAAACTGACCATTCTCTGCCACAGCTTTCAAAATACTACATTAAAAGGTTATGTTGGTTTATTAGAACGTTCCTTGTTGAGAATTAGGACAGATTGTAATCAGACTATCAAAAGTATCATTTTTAGTGCACATTGAAGCCACTTATACCACTTTTCTTCAATCGGATAACTAAAACTTGTTTTAAACAATGTGTCTTAACAACTGCATTGGGAGAAATTTAATGTGGTAGTAGCATCCGTCAAATATTTAATGCTCCTCATCGACCTATAGAGCTCTGCTTCATTCCACTTGTTCTTCTGTGATGCTCACTTCATTTTTGAACGCTCACATCTGTGTGGGACGTGACTGCTTCCATTGATTTTAGAATAGTCAGAGGGAGCATAAATCTGAGTGATCTTTGCAGCCATTTTGCGGAAATGTTTTAGTGCCCTAAAACTCAGGCATGAAAGGCAGCGGACGTTCCCCTAAGGACAGCGAGGCTCAAATTTTATTTTATTATTTTTTTAGAAAGGTAAATTCTCAAAGTGAAGGCTTTCTTTGATGAAAGTGTCTGTTTATGTGTTCGGCTCAGGCTTTCACTGCTCKTACCCTCAGATTTGTGCTCCTGCCTTGTAAATTATTCAGAGGTCCTATCAGTGGCGGTGTGTTGTGTCACTTCAACCTGACCATCCGTACGTGATGTGTTTTGAAACTGCAGAGTGATACCATGGACTCAGCTCTCTGTCTGCCCTGTGCTGACACAGAGGAGATGAGGAGCGAGACCTGATTTATTCATAACACCACTGCTAACAGCTGGACACCTCAGAGACCGAGCAGACTTCCTGACGTTACACACATTTCTCTCCATGCCCGTGTCTGATCTTTTGTTTCTCACTGTTCAGATATAAAGAGAAGTTCTCCAGCAGGGTTTGTAAATGATAGCAAAAACACTCTCATTTTCAGTAATTTTTGAACATTTTGATTCTTGCTTTTAAAATGTACTCCAGCAGATTCAATCAGGAACATGGCTGCCAAGTTGGGTGCRAAGCAAACTGAAGTTAGTACGAGTAGGCAACTACCTAACATGCACAGCCTAGATTACAGGTTTTCAAAGCTCGCACATAAAAAAGTAGTGATTAGGGTTGTGCAGCTATTATTTTGCTCCCAACAATCATAAAAACAGTATAACTGACTAAAACAGTTATTATTGAAAATGTTCAAACATTTAGTAATGAACATTAAGTTTATACCATAAAGCCCAACCAATGGCCCTCAACTGATTGGGCTATGCTTATATTGAATGTTTGGTGCATTGTTACTGTTTCGTTCTGTGGCCTTCTGCAAAGTAGGGACCCGACAGAAACAGTTTGAGAACCACTGTTCTAAATGTTTCTTGTAAGTTCTATTACATAATGACTGAGACTGCACAAAGAAGTATGTGGCAGTTCGAACATTCAGATTAAATTAAAATGATGACAAAAGAACTGTAGAATTTGATATGCTGCTATAAATAATGACTACAGGAGATTAGGTGAAACATTTCTAAAACATGAATAACGGCAAACCAGGAAAGAATCTTTAAACAACTTATTATTCTGACAAACAGCAGAACGAGAGCACACGGAGGAGGATCGGGGAAGAGAGCATCATCGCAATTAGTGTTAGTGCATTTAGTTCACCAACCATGGCTTCATTGTTTTGGAGAAAACCTCTGTGTAAAAATTAACAGTGAATAAGGACCGATTGGGGAAAAAATGGGGGTTCAAACCCACAAAGCCCCTCTAGTCTGCAGTGGAGAACCAGAAATCAGAGACAGAGCTCCTTATAACGCAGGAGGAAGCTTCCACGGGCAGCTTTTACTGATAATAGCACTATAATTAAAACAAATATATTTTTGTAATTCATCAGAAAGTCTGTGTTTTAACAGCTGATAATTGATTGTGAAACAGTCGCCATTGTGCGTCACAGTATTAATTTATTTTCCGTGAGGACAAACTCTGCACCACAGTGAAGCTTCAATTTATCTGGTTCTTACAAAAATTGTGGTGGTCTTCTTATATTTGTCTGGTGTTTGTCTTGTGGCTTATAAAGTACATCCTAACAGGGTGAAGCTGTGTTTTTATATTGTTTGTTTGTTTAAAAAACTTTGGTTTGGTTGGTCTATGATACCAGAGTCTATACTTTCCTTTTAGCAAGAGAGAGGCAGGAAAATTGTAGATTTGGCATAGCAGAGGTTTTCCTGTTGATCTGTTGATGCAGCTGTAAATACAAATTGCTGGCCTTAAAAGTAAAACACAAACTCAAATTCTTTGCATCATTAAAAAAAGCCAGAAACTTGGGGGGAAATGCTTCACCTTTTCTGAAAATACACCATGAAAACCTGATCTTTGTGCCGTTAGTGCATGTAAAGTCCTTGTCACATTACACAATTTATGCCATCTTATGAACATTTTAAAGATGTCTATGTTGAGGATGGAATCTGAAAAAATCAACAGGAAGCTTCTTTTTGGCGTGTACATGATGTAATTCTAACAAATTGATCAAATATATATCTTTTATTAACAATTTAGACATAAAACACATTTCATAAGTTGGCATAAGTTGTCTAGTGTGGCAGGGCCTTTATTAAGACTTCATACCATTACTTCATCTTAGAAGACCCTTTAAGTTTTTGTTTTTAGGTTTGGGTTGTGTTTTAAGGCAGAAAAGGCAGTTGGGTTGAAGGATGTCAAATGATTAAAGGCCCTGTCACACTAACGTTTTAGACAACTTATGCCAAGTTATAAAAATTTTAAAGGCATCTAAGTTGAAGATGAAATTTTTAAAAATTAACTGGAGGGCTCTTTTAGGCGTGTGCATACTGTAATGCTAACAAACTGATCAAATATATCACTTTTAGTAATTTTGACATAAAAATGTATAAAATGTTATAGTGTGACAGGGCCTTTAGATGGTCCAGGGGATATTCTGGCCTATGTTTGGTTTAAATGTTAATTCAAACCCGTGACTACCCCTAACCATCTTTACCATGATATACTGTATATTGCTATATAATTATTGCCCAGCCCTAGTTAAAAGGTAAAGTTGATTCTTTTTATTCCGGTCTCGTGCCCAACAAAAGGCTGCCTGACTCTACAGATCTTATTTTCTTCTCCTGTCTCTCCTGCAGCTCTCCAGTGTTACTGCGACCGCTGCAGTGCCAACTCCAGCTGCACAACCGACGGCGTCTGTTTCGTGGCCCTCCGGAAGTCGGGAAGCCAGGTGACCATCGAGGGGCGCCAGTGCGTACCTGAGATCGAGCTGATTCCACGAGACCGGCCCTTCATCTGTGCCCCGTCCGTAAAACAGGACTCCGGCATCTACCCCACATGCTGCCTCACAGACTACTGCAACAAAGATCCAGACATCGACAACATACCGAGTAAGAATACACGCAAACACACGTTACATACAAGAACTTTAGTTTGGAGCTTTGAGTACTTTTTTTAATCTGACCTTTCCTTTTGAGTTTAAAATTTAAAGCAAATAGTTTTAAATCTTTGCCGAATAAATGAAAACATGTTTTAAATAAGCAGTGTCTCTCTGTTTACTATAGAAAAATCCCAACTTGCTTTAACCAAAGACCRTCGGAAAGACTTCATTCCTCCCGTCTTTACACAAATTAATGACACGTCCTTGAATGCAACTCAATATTTTAAAAATGTAAATGGTGTATTCCTGGATTGTGTGCAAAATAGAAAGAATTTAAAAAATAGAAATAGAAAAATGCCAACACTGAACCATGAACCCTCCCAACAGAACAGAGAAATAATATCTGCACATAAGACACTATTTGAGAACTGTAAATTATTTATCGGAGATATAGTCTAATTTTTTTTTGTTTAAAAATACCCACTTTTTATATAAACAATATGCTGGTTTGAGCTGGCATTATCTTTGTTTAAATTAGGATTTTAACTTTTCTTTAAAAAACGAATGGATTTCCCTGTGGAAAGATCAGGACACATTCATTTGTGTTCTCACTGCTGATTTATCCGTGCAGCCAAATTAAACCACTTTAAATAAATATTTTTAGTTTTAAAACTACAATATGTTCTGTTAGAACTACATGTATTACTCAAACAGCAGTGATAGTTGCATTTTTATTTCTAAAGCAAAGCTATTAAAACATATATTACATTTTTAATTTTTTATTACCATGTAACTGTTTTGTTTTTACAAAATAACCAACAGACATTATGAGAGTGTTTGCTTATTTACTGAACTCCATTTCATTCAGAACCAGTTTAGTTAACTAAGAGACTTGTTTTTTATTTAAACTTTATTCATACAAGTAGTCTCATTGAGTCACAAGGACTCATTTTTCAGAGAGGCCTGTTTTCAGTGAAGTGCAGTTCTGGGTCTGAACAGTTCTGATAATTTCCATGTTCTCGCTGCTGAATCACCAACCATTAGCAGTGATTTTGATATTTCCACGATGATAACAGTTCCATATGTTTCGCAGCCTGACTCAGAGTGTTGTTGTCTGTCCCAGAGGAAGTAACAGATGTGTCTGTTAGCTACAGACCGTAACCCTTTTCTGTCATCCTCATTAATCAGTTTTCTCTCTAACAGTGACCCTTTCAGTTTCTATTTACAGGTTAATCCCACAGAGTTTATTGTGTGTTTAAATTTTCTGCTAAATTTGTGTCTCTTTCTTCAGAAGACCCCCCAACCACCCACCCTCCTCTGGGCCCCGTGGCCCTTGCCGCAGCGATCGCATGCCCCGTGTGTGTGCTTTGCCTGCTGCTGGTTTTGGCRTTCTACATTTGTCACAACCAAAGAGGTCTGGGGGCTGGAGGGGCTGGAGCCCTCCACCATCGTGTGCCCAGTGAGGAGGACCCAACCATGGACCACCCCTTCATCAACGTTGGAACAACTCTGAAAGACCTCATTTACGACATGACCACCTCAGGCTCTGGATCAGGTACTGTTCTGCATCCTGACCTAACGGGGGTGTGGGTGGGGTGGAGAGACTTTTATAGGATGACAAATGTAGTTGGATTAATCTGACGTCATCAGTACTCGGGTTGAGACAGCTCACGTTTGTACAGAACACATGTGGCCTCCAGAACTGRATTTCTTTCTGCCCCTTCTGAAGAGCTAAAATAGACAGCAGTGGTTTCTAGGCTTGTTTTTCCTGCCTCTCAAGAACAAAGGGCTCCAGGTTACTGTGCAGAGAGGTTCGTTTAAAAAAACAACTGAAAAAGAAATTGAAATGTATCTTGTTAAGAAAACAACCCTGAGAAACAGACCCTTCACCTTTTGTACACAACTTAAAACATAAAGCTGCTTAACGTCACCAGRCTACAGCAGCCACTAAAGACTATTTCCATATTAATCTATTGATGAAATTATCAAATAATCAACTAAACCATTTTTTCCTTCTCCCTTTAACAAATAACAAAAACTGAAAACATAAAGTCCAGCTTTGTCTCCTGTCTTTTGTCAATGCCACTGAGTCCAAACCATACAACACAGCTGGTCTCACTGCTCTTTTCTAACCCTTTCCTTTGACCTTCGCTGCCTCCTTTCTGTCACTAATCTCTCCTTAAACTTATCTCCGTCCCCTACATCCTGCCTGGACTCTCGTCTTCACCTCTTTAGCACACTCCCTGATGTCTTGGACAGTTGATTTGAAGYAYTTGAAGTCCTGCWCCTTTAGACCTTTTTGCACCTTTTTGGATTAAGCGTGTTCATATTATGACCAGTGAYGTGCAGTCACTAGAGGCAGGGGAGGCTCATCATGGAAATTAAAAAGAAAAAACAATATTAAATGTATTAAATTGTCATATTTTTTATAATGCTTTGTACTATAAACACATTTCCAATTAATTTAAACACTTTTTAATAGTTTTCTTATTCAAAATCGCGGAATTTCCTCATTTCCTGTTCAAATACAGGATGAGATGGACTAGGAGGCGAAATCAAGCTCCGCCTCCAGATTGCGCAATCTATATATATGACCACAAATTCATATCATGGTATAAATTGAACCCCTTCATGGTAACGTATATATCGCGGTAGAAAATTATAAAAAGCAAAGATAATGTAATTTTTAAGAGCATTTATTACCATAATCAAACCCAGCATTTTTACTGTAGTGTAAATGATCCCGCGACACGACGTAACTTTTCTACAGCGGGAGGAGGAAATTTTGAGGATTTTTTCTCTATATAAGTGTTTTAAAATGTTTTATTTCTTCATTATATTTTGAACTCTTCCTGCTCAGTTATCTCTGCACTCACAGCCCTGTTGACACAGGTGCGATGACGTAACTGATGATATGACGGTAGAGGGTAAATTTCTACTGTAGACTAACTTCATACTGTTTTTACCATCTACTGCTTATACCGCACAGCCCTAGCATTAGGTTAAACTTGTGATAAATATTTAAAAAATTAACTGCTGATGTGCATGAGAGTGCAGGAGGGGAGGTCAATGATGGAAAGACAAAAGACCTGGTGCAGTCCAACTTCCTGCACCCACTCCAGCCATTCACACTTAAACTGCATACACACCATCTCTTTACTGTCAGAAGCTTTTCTGTTAGCCAGTCTCAAATTAGCACCTTTCCATGAGACTGTCACCTCCAGCATGCTGCTCTGGAGCAGTTTGAATTTACATTTACAGCATGCTGCACACCGTGCTGTTGGCAGAATCAGCTGTAGTAATTACACTGCTGACTCACTGTGTGTGTGTGTGTGTGTGTGTGTTGTATTGAAATCAGACGAATGGCCTTTTCAGTTTTCTCGTCAGCTGTTTTGTAGAGTCTTTAAAGTTCCCTTCCATCAGAGCTTAACCAACCAGTCAGTCGGTTTAGAAATGCTTTGTGGACTATTAAAATGGGATGCTTTTTTATGCTGCTTTAGCTTTTTGTTGTCTGTGTGTGACTTTTTCTTTCACGGTGGGATGTAAAATCACTTTRCATTACTGTCATTCATGAAGACTTGCCCTTAGCGTCCATCTGTGTCGGAAGAACAAACGGTCTCGTGAGCAGCAGCAGGCTCTGAATGTGCCTGCATGGAAGTATTGCTGCACTGCAGGCTGATATGCGAGTGACATGGGAAACATTTCTGGTTCACTTGAACTTAGCGCTGTTACTTCTATCTCCTGTGTAAGCGTCAGTGTATCTGTTGTGCAGCAGATGTTGTAGCGGCGGGCATTAGAACCTTGTGGCATACTTTGCTTGACTGCTGGTTGAAGTGATTCTTCAGGGCTGGCTCTCTGCAGGGTTAGACCTCAGCTGCTGCTTCCTGTAGGTTCTTAGTGTCTGGAAGTCTCTCTGCTGATAGTGTTTTATAGATGTCTGAAGATCTCCTCTTGTCTCGGCTGGGTCAGGTTTTAGGGTTTGATGTGGGTTCCAGTAAAGATGGGAGCTGTAGGGGTGGAACAAGGAGATTAGTTGTCTGATCTGAGGAAACACTTCAGGTTGTTTTTATTTTCTTTATTCCACCATCTGCAGTCTGAATCCAGAGATCAACGTGTTGTGGTGGGGTTTTGAGCACCTTAAGGACCATAGAAGCTATGTTGTCTGATGTAGGTTTTTCCAGGGAGGGTCTCCTGTGACCATTTGTTTCTGGGGAAGGCTAAGTCTAAGGAGATCCAGTAAGTTTTAGGACAAGGGCTGTGCCCTGGAACCAGGCCTAGGGGAGGTGCTATCAGTAAGTGTTTGTTTATCTATGAGTCCAGGTTGGACTCATWGACTGAACAAGGATTGTAGGACCTCCACTCCTGTGAACTCACCAGCTGCACAAGGCATTGTAAGAGACCCCTGCATTGTGGATTGGGTGACGTTTGGAGGCAACAGTCCAACAGTCCAGGGGTCAGATTTATAAAACTTGCGTACGCCACTTTTCACGCAAAGGTTGTGATTTATAAAATCCAAACTCGACGTGAAAATGTGCGGTGCCTCACGCCAGCTCTGACCCATGCGTACGCTCATTTTGGAGATGGGAAGCTGCGACACAGATGGTGAAGTGAGAAATTAGAGCCACACTGTGTAATGATCACTGTCAGATATTTAATTTCACTTTATAATCAGACTTAGATTTTTATTCAACTTTTATCATCAGCTTTCTTAACAGTAATATTTATGCTTCTGCTGCTGAGCCATAAGGACCTTTTGAAGTAAAAAACTTAAATCTTACATAAAAGTTCACACATCCATTCATCTGCTTCCTCCTCATGACCCTGATAAGACTTTTCAACAGCGCGACAGCAAAAGTCACACTTTGGGTACACGCGCAGGGCGTGCCCCTCACCAGTATGGATGTTATAAAACTTCACTTTTTAAAGTCTGTATTTTTCACACGCGTGCGGGGCTGTAGGGATGTGTGTTTGTGTGTGTGTGTGTGTGTGT